TGCTGCATTTGAAGCGTCAGAAATTTCCGTGGATTGTCCAAAACTTTGACTAGCATCCTTACTTGATTCATCGAAGGTTGTACCTTCTGGAATTTTTTTCATACCCAATCCAATAATGCCGGCGCTAAAAGGCACGATAAATCGTTTATTAAGGTTTTTAAAGGTAAGCGTTTGTGATGGTTCATTAAGCAATACTGCAATTGGAGCGGATTGTGCGATGATAACTAATAAAAAAAGAATATTCAAAATTTGAAATAAGAATCGTCTAGTAAGTGAGATCATTTTAGCTGATTAAGTGAGAAAGTTTTAAAGAGAATAATGAGACAAATATCAAAGTATGCTTCGATCCTGAAGGTTTCTGAATTTTTATAATGCAACTCAGTATATGATATGATCAATGTATCAATCTTGATTGATATGCATCGAAATACGTATTCTGGTTTTATGCATTTATTACAGTTAATAGAGCCTCGTGACGTAATCTAGAGCTCTATTTGACCCTAATAACTCTTCCACGCCTCTTTCGTAGCTGCCAATATTAGGGTTTAGATAGAGTTTAGTAGTTTAGTAGTTTAGTGTGTTGTTTTAGATTAGTTTAGTGCCGATTGATATCTGTCACCCATATTTGAGATTCCGGATTAGCCTTCACTTTTACAATACGAACCATGGGAATTTGAATTGTCTTGAATGAATTTCACCATTCTGGTTTGATTTCATCTTTGTTTATAAGTACATACAAACTGCCAACAAATATAGGCCTAGCTAAATTTAAAACTCATACAGGAGGATCCTGGTCGGAATACATTGGAAATATGGTCGGCCAGAAAGATCTTCTTAAAATTTAAAGGGTTTTTTAAACTTTAAGTAAATATTTCTCGACGAATATTTAACCAATTTCAGTGGACTTTTTTTATTTCAATTTTATAACCATTATGAATTAAGATAAAATAAATTTCATCGAATTTAGTTAGATAGTCGCGAAGAAATCTTCGCTTAAAGTTTTATAAAAGGTTGAAAAAACCATAGTAAAAGCTTCTTTTTTCTTCTTCATTATTGTAGAATTAAAACAAAAAAAAGATTTATCGAATTTAATTAAGTAGTCATTGAGAAATATTCATTTAAAGTTTTGAAAAGAATTTACCGCAGCTTCTTTTTGTAGGTACTAAAACTTTACACGAAGTTTTCTCGATGATTATCTAACCGAATTCGATAAAAAATTTTTATTTAATTCTATAGACTTATAGTATAAAATAAAATAAAATAAATTCATTGAAGTTAGCTAAATAGTTATTGGGAAAACTTAGTGTAAAGTTTTAGTTTCTACAAAAAAGAAGCTGTGGTAAATTTTTTTCAAAACTTTAAATGAATAATTCTCAGTGACTACTTATCCAAATTCAATAAATTTTTTTTATTCAATTCTACAAATTTGCAGAATTAAAAAAAATTTTTCATCGAATTTGGCCAGGTTATTATCGAGAAATTTTCATTAAAAATTTAAAACCGAACTTATCATTATTTTTTTTTCTTAGGCTTAAAAAGTTTTTTTTAGATTAAACTGAAATTTCTTGATAATAACCTGACCAAATTCGATGAAAATTCTTTTATTTAAGTGCTGCATGTTTTGTAGAATTGAAATAAAAAAAAAAATTTATTGAATTTGGGTAGATAGTCACTGAGAAATTTTTATTTAAAGTTTGAAAAATTTACCGCAACTTCTTTTTTATAGGTACTAAAACTTCACACGAAGTTTCTCAATACCTATTTAATTAAATTTAATGAATTTTTTTTTATTTTAATTCTATAAGTCTATAGAATTAAATAAAAAAAATTGTCAAACTTGGTTAGATAATCATCGAGAAACCTTCGTGTAAAGTTTTAGTACCTACAAAAAAGAAACTGCGGTAAATTCTTTTCAAAACTTTAAATGAATATTTCTCAATGACTACCTAATTAAATTCGATAAATTTTTTTTTATTTTAATTCTACAAACATGAAAAAATAAAATAAATTAAAAAAATCCATCGAAGTTGATCAGATAGCCGTTGAAAAAATCTTTGCTTAAAGTTGAAAAAAAGAAGTTTTTACTATGGTTATTTGCTTTTTTTCTGATTTTGAACTTTTTTTAAGTTTTCTCCACGACTATCTTACCAAATCCAATGTAAATTTTTTATTTTAATTCTAAATGTTTATAGAATAAACCAAAAAAAGTTCACTGAAATTAGTTAAATATTCATCGAGAAATATTTACTTAAAGTTTCAAAAAATCCTTTAAATTTTAAAGGGATCTTCCGACCAGGAATTTTGGGGATCCCCCTGTAAAAAAGGTATGTCGATCATTTGTACCATAATTTTTAAAAACAATACGTACAGTACGTAAATTTTTTATTTGTATATCTGATATCACTTAAAATGTCAGTTAAACTCAACTGCCTTGTCCATGGTGACACGCCCGAACACACATTTCCAGTTGAAATTAAGAAGAATGCGATTATCGATGACCTCAAGGATGCTATCAAAAAAAAAGACACATCCCCAGTTCGAGAACTTTGCATCATTTGAACTCACATTATGGAAAGTGAATATTTCTTTCGATTCACCAAACGATAAACGAAATGCTCTTGAGGCTGATCCTAAAGCCGACATCACGACTAAGCTGGGAGGTGAAGAACTGTCATCTTTGGATAGTATTAATGAACACTTTGATAAGCCCGTAAAAAAGCATGTCAATGTTATTGTCGAAGTTCCTGCTTCCTTTAGTAAGTTTTTAAAAATAATGGAATTTGAATAACCATAGTACATTTAGCGATATAGACTAATTTATATTCTATTCATCTGTTAATTTGTAACTATTTGTACTTTGATTGACCTTTGTTTTTTATTTCTTTCTATATTCGTTTATATATCTATTAATCGATCAATTAAGCACCTCCATACTACTATATTACACAAGATGCAATAACCAAAATTCATGAAATTCACAATAAACTTTTTCACCAAACTATTGAGACTTTATCCATCTCTAAAATCAATACTGAGACCTACCAACTTTTGATGAACCATCTTAAGCTTAAAATCGAAACGGCCGACTTCGATAATATTCTTATTCACAGTAATGTATCATCACCAGCGTTCGAATGGAAAGATGAGTCAGAACTGGCCCATAAAGATGAATATTTAGGATGGCTACGTAAATACATTCCTTTAAAAATCGCCGTATTTGGCATGACGTTGGAGGTGACAATAACTTATTAAATTTATATAAAAACCCCTTGTTACCGTTTAATGTTCATGGTGGAACTGACATAGTGGCTGTAGATGAAGGTGGTGTCGCAATAGATTTGGTCCCAGAAAGTATTTATGCAGTCCTACAGTTGAAGAAAAAAATTGAAAGAAAACATATGATGCAAGTCGTTTTAGAAATGGTAGTTGCTGATATATTTACCTCTGATAGGAGAACCGTTTTTGGAATTTTATCAGACCTTAGAAATGATTGGCGCATTTACTGGTTAGAAAGTGATAGGAAAATAAAGGCTTGGAAAGCACCAAGTCGAGATATTGCAGTTTATGTGATAAGCACACTTTTATGTGAGAGTAGTTCTAAAGATAATAGAGAGGATACATTGCCTATCATTCCGGCCGCAAAACGTGTCAAATTGGTTACTTTATTTCAAATGGATGAGGATTACGATATTGCTCGGATGGAAGATGTATATGATGTTATGTCAAAGGAGGAAATCTTGCATCATAAAATTGGAATTGCTGTAGAAATGATTAAAAATACTCCTTCCTTTTCATCAATGTTTGAATAAACTCTGTTAGAAATGTAATAAACATAATAATGGATATCTATTAGCGCTGGCTAAACTTTTGTAATATCGGTAAAATTATCATGTGACAATGCGCTAT